TATATGTATATATATATATAGATTGATTGATTGATTGATTGATATTGTGATTGTCATGTAGATATATAGATAGGTCAATCCATGTAAATATACACAGCTAGATTACGACATCAGTCAACGGAGCTGGAAGAAATCAATTGCAGTGCAATCTGCAGTTTTCGGGACTCGACTGATTGGATCGGAATCCCCAAGAATTGGTATGATGTATAGTATTGAAAAACGTTTGACATACGAATTTTGTTGCGCGTCCTAGATCCACCAATAATCGTCTTAGAGCGATTCGTGAGAGTTTCATAGACGATATCTTCTGTTTTTAGCAGCTAACTACGAAGCACAAGATTTCACCACGACCGCTGGTCAGTTCCGCCGTAAAACACGGTGGTCTTAAAGCCTGAACCAAGATGGGTAAAAAAATAACGGGTCACACCTCATGCCTTAATAACACAATGGTCCGTATATGACAGTGACACTCACGAATCGCTCACTGGCAACCCGGGCAGTTGCCGCGAGTGTTGACAAAAAAATAACAAATAAACGCTAGCTACGGCGCGTGATGTTTTCTTCATGCGCTGCATATACACTCAGTTACCTTTCTTCATTGCGACAATCTCAAAAGCTCGAAAGCTGAATCGTGAATGAAATTCATTTATACACACCTGGTTCGCTTCACTGGCCAAGACTGCTGTGGAAATGTGAGTGGAAGTACACGAGTGGTTCAGGGCCATTCATGTCACGCACACCAACATTGAGGGAGCTGAAATGTAAGGGGAGATGGGAGCAGGCCGTTGTGGTGAAATGAGCGATGCTGCAGCTGTTATGGGTGAGCACCAGACTCACGAACACAGATAATTGTCTAGGCTCGTTGTGTGCTGATCAGCGGCCCCACTCTAACAGCCCCAGTTCCCAGCACAACGGATATCGTTTGACTGTGACGTGCCCAAACCAGCCCAGAACACACGTAGATGATATTTTCTCGTCCAGTTATTGGGGGCGACGATCGATCGGTGCCTTCTGTTCCTCTTCTGTGTGGACTTCATGCACTTTCTATCTTTTGTCATCCATTGCGTTTAGAGCAGATTTTCGCCAAATGTGTAGTTGGTAGAGTTAGAATTTAGATGAACTCATCGGGTTTGACTCACTCAACGCCTGACTCCTGCTCCGCAATCAGATTTTACAGACAACTAGTGAAAGAAATGCAAGGTGTCTGGTTTATCCTGCTCGTCCCAAACTCTGGATAACTAGTGAGACTGTGGCTCTGGGTAATGAGTCCTTAACGGAGCAACCTTAATGCGTCGGCTGATTCCCACTGAAAACGCAGACCGAAGAGTTTACTAGATCCAGAGGTCCAAGAAAGTGGAAGGGGAATTAAAGCCTGTAAAAATACCCGCATGTTTCTTTATTTGATTTGTTCTGCGGCCTCCTTTGAGTTGAATGCTTGCCAAACAGACGTGGACAACAATATATATTTATTATCTACAAAGAGAAAATCTTGAACAAGAGCCAAAATGATTATCTGTCAATTCTCCTTCAGGTTGTCAGCCTCTTAGAGAAATAATGGTGGTCCGCATTGAGTCTCTCCAGACTAACTGTATACGGTGCTCGAGGTCCAAATATATTTTGCATTTTTTGTCCGGAGACGCTTTTGCACTTTTTAGTAGTTATTTAGCGAAATGAATGATAGACTAAAACAACGATAAAATGAATTGCTGATCTATAGACAGCTACATACATACGTACAAAAACTGAACACTAGTACGGATTCCACTTTTACAAATTCTGTTGAATGAAACTCAGTCGCCCGAATTTGATAAACCGCATGGACACCGAACATTTAGATATTAAAATTTCAGGTATTCATGATTATCACCAGTAGCATCTCTTGCACAGATAAGGTAGGGTTATCGACACAATGGATTTCGCTCGGAGCCATGAATTGAGATCTTTTGACCCAACTTCCATGCACGGCAAAACGCTCCACATTCGAAAGTTTTAGATCAGCTTAGATTATATATATGTATATATGTACCTATATATGGCCTAGCATACGAGCAGGGAAAGACGTGATAGGATAATGAATAGGTTGAACAACCAAAAAAGGTTCCACTAAACATAAATCAATATGTTTTTACATTTTTTCTAAGATTATGCATTTCAGAAATTTCTGACTTGGGATGCAATGCTTTCTTCTCCATGAATTCCAAACCGGAATCGTTTTTATGCCGTGGAAACTTAAGAAAATTCACACAAAAACCGTCAACTTGAACGTTTTCAGCTTCCCTGGCCGACACCACCTCTTTTACTTTCGTGGGTAAGTTGGATACCGTATTACAATAAAAATGATCGAGAGGTCACTTTTTTGAATTTCCGGCAAATATTTGTGGGATCAATGTATATCGGTTCGTTGCAGATAGCCTTTTATAACCTTGTAGAATTGTTTACGTGTAAATTGCGTGTCTCAAAAAAATTGGGATTGCTGCACGTTCTACAAATATTCTAATATTTTCTAGCGGACCCATTATTTAAGTCTACGCGCTTTGATATACGTTTGTCGAATGACTTTTGAAATTTATTGCTCTATTGCTTTATGGTTTTCATTGTAGTTCACTTCATTGTTTTATTGTTTAAATTTTTTCTGTTAACTTTTTTTTCATCTTCTAATGTGCCCGAAGGAACGAGTATTCGAATTACGTAAAATTTATTTTACTCAAGACAGCTTATTCAACTGATGGATGGGATGCAAGTTTCGAGTGCGTCAAAAAGCAATTAAGCAATTAAGTGTGGTTGAACGACATAACCCTTATTGATGTTGACCGCCCTATTCCTCCGACCTATAAACGCCTAGCGAAAAGACATTAACGTGTTAATTTGACAGTGATTTGCTTGCGTTCACTCTAGTTTATCTTACACAACCCGTTCTTTATTGACGGTACTGCATAAAATATCTGGACATTTCTCTCGATTACCACACAGTACTTTTGAAACCGGAACTCAAGTTTACCAACTACCAATTACACATTTGAATATTTCGGCAAATATTTTCAGATGAAACACCCTAAAACCTTTTCGCATCAACTCGTTTGCGAACTTTGTAGAACTCAACGACCGTAAGTTGGACAAACCCGTGCACCGCGATTTGTCCGTCTTGAGATGACTTCACAATACTTTGGTGATGAAATTTGTACCAGAGTTTACAAATCACATCCGGAGATCGCAGCGTACAACGTACTGAGTGATGGCCCTATAGTTTTGTTGAGTTAACTTCGTGTAAGTCCAATACTGCTGTAAAGATGAACTGGTTGGATAATCGAACATCTACGAAACTTGAACATATGACCTTGTCGCACAAGTTATTTTTGCGGCGGTGCACGCCTTCGAAATATCTCTCGATCAACTAGAAAAACGGAAAAACTCCCTTGCAAACCCCATCGTTTGTATCAAAATCTTCAAGCCCCTATCGGCTTGGCTCTGAGAAACATTCAGGGTAATGCGAGTTGGTGATAGCTGGATAAATGTAGACTGAAAATGTGTGCTTCGTTTCTCCCGTAGGAGCATCGGGTTCGAATTCGTGCCAGGAGTTGTGCAAATCTTGATCGATTTCGGCTGCGTTGGATTGCCGGAGACATGGGGCGCTTCTTCTGGCCAACTCCACGCAGTAGTCCGGGCGTCCGCCTGAGTAATCAACAACGGAAAATGATTACACCGTGAATTTCTACTTGTGGTTATTCTTTCCCCTGCTGTTGTTCAGCGGAGTATGTTGGGCGTACGACACGGCAAATTTCTAAGTGTATACACAGGCACCTCTCTTACTGGAATACCACTAACCTCAACAGTTCAGCCAAGAGCTCAGTTGCGTCTCACCTAATTGACACCAGGCGCGTATTCATGCCAAATGAGTCATTTCAAGTCAACGTCGTTGCTTGACTACAGCTGGGGTAAGCGCTATACGCCTGCGAAACCCGGTACTGGGCTGTCACAAAGTTCCGTACAAACGCTTAACCTGCCTTGGTCGAAACAATCGACCAAGTCATTCAACATCCCTCTTGACTGTCTCACAGCATCCAACTAGGTGCGACTAAGGGGAGGGCGCAGACAATCAATCGCTCATATCTCCACGCTTTGCATTTCACTAACCAATCTTCGCAGCGTATTTCATTCTTCGCTCCGAATTTTAACCATTAGATGTGTACTGACCTGATGACGAGATCCCAAAAACATTGGTATTCGTCACTGTGTTCTTTTTCAAACTATTAGAATTTTTGAGCAATTTTTATTTGATTGAACGAAATGCATTGTAAGCGCAGGGTCATCGGCATACGTCTGCGCATTCATTCATCATGAATCCAGTCGACCTGCCAAGCGAATGACTATGGTGTGAAGCCATATGAAATAAAAATGACCCCTAGATAACAAACAGGCTTTCTGGTTACACTCAGAGTCACACCGAAACGCGGTATCAACGACAGCTTTGGTACACAAGCCTCACAAATCATTCTAGCTTTAGAAGTTGATTCATTTGGAACTAAGTTCTACAAACAGGTGTTTGTTCGATCCCAAAGGCATTCTGTGTGAAGTATCAATTTTTTTAGCGATAAGAGACATCTCTGGGAACCCATTTCATTATTCTAACTTATGGTTTTCTTGACACTCCTCTGTGTCGCTCCATGGAATGTCCTAGTGCACTGTAATATATCGCGCTTATCAAGAAGATATTACTTCACAACATACAATAGCGTATTATTCCATGGTATATCATACAGCATCGTCCGAAATATTTCATCGCACTATGTATAAAATACTTTTGTTTTAGATTTGACGAGATTTTTCAGAGAAGGTTAGTTGACGATTTCAGCTGAATTCACAGATAATCGACGTTGGATACGATTTTGCTCTAACTGAAAAAATTTTGCTCTAGCTGAAAAAATAATTCCTCTTGACTTCAGCGGAAGCCTACATACGGCAGGGTAAGTTGTGCAGAATCGGAAGCCTTGTTGTCTCCAAAATGCCTTTATCACCACCCTGTTTCGTTTCATTTTTCTTGTCGGTCCCATGTCTGGATGGAGTGAACAAGCCTATTGGTTCGTAGGCAAAAGCAGTTTTTGAACGGTGGATTTACTGGAGTTTGGAGATAACTTCAGGTGAACTTGCAAACGCGTGTACTTCACCAAATGCGTACGACTTGTTTCTCAAGTACGATGAGTCTCAGTCAAAACGAATTCGATCGTGTGGCGTTGGAGAACATTTGGAAAGCCTAGAATTTGTGCACTCCATCAAGAATGCATACTGTGATATCTCGAATTCCCGCAAAACCGGGGAATTCGGCAGTGTTCGAGCAGCACCCTCAGGTACTGAAGTCAGTCGTTGATGTGGTTACATGGTTGTATCTTGGTTGTTGATCAGATGGTTGTTGATCTGTTCGCCGAGCTTGGCGATTGGCTTGCAAACGTTTCGTCACCATACGAGGAGACATCATCAGTGCACAGTGGGGTCGGTGGTTGTATCTTCCCAGCTTCACCAAAACTTTCATTATGTCCCATTAGAAGCAACCAGATTTTTTTCTTTGGAAGTTCCGTCATCTGCTTGAGTACTTATCTAGTAGATGCACACTAAATCTAACGTGACCTCATGATGATCCCTCATTGATCTACTTTATCCCTCGCTGTACGTTTGATTTCCACTTGTTCTGGTCATCCGTACCAACCGGTCACCTTACAATGAATACCGTCCAGTCCGACTCTGTTATACTAGCACGAGTGTTTGTGAGAATGTTCACAGCATTGTACCCGCATTGAACCTGGTTTGACTTGTTCCGCGTAATCGCACCTCAAACGAAAATCACCAGACCGTCCTTGGAAATGCTGACCGCTCCACAAACCACAGAGCTAGCATTTCGATCGCCGTTGTTCCCTGGACGGACGGTGGCACTGCACTGCACTGTGTCGGTTCATCACAGATACCGGGCTGCCGGTAACACCGCAAGCTTTTTGTACAGCTTTGCTTACATTTGTGTAAAGAGTATCGGGATCGTCAAACCCACTCAATATTCCGCATCGGGAACCTCAGGAACGCCACTATTTCTGCTCTGTTCGGAGCTAACTTGAACGTTACTATATTTGTTTATTGGTCTCGGCTTCAGTAGAGCATGGAGGTACGGATGACACTGCTGACTGTTTTGAAAGCGTCGTTTCTATTTCGCCTTGTTGTCCGCACACTCAGCATCAGTAGTGAGCCACCGGCCTACAATTTTTCAATACCGCAGACAAGTGAGTAAGAGGCGAACGGACGAGGCTAGTTCTAATTCTGTACGAAGGATTGCCTTCAAATGCTAAGGTAAACATCCTTGAGGTACCCTTGAAATTGCGAATAACCAGGCAGAACATTCGGTGTCGCCGTGTTCCCTCGGGCGTTCATTTTTGCTTCGGCGACACACTGATATTGGTGTGCACTTGATCGTATCCCCTGCATTCCCAGTCGTCAAATATCATACGTGGATTTTGTCCCAAAATCAAGTGCATTCGATTGGGACAGACTGCTTAAGCAATTTGGATCGAACAACCATGTGGAGTGATCAATTCATTCCTTGCCCGCATTCCTAGAGACGGTCGTTTTTCCTCGGTATATACATTATATACTCCGTTGTTCAACATCTTAAACTTGAGTGTGCTTTGTCGACAGCTTAAGCGAAATACTCGCGTAACTTTACTAGTACGTAGTTGCTTGCAGGTAGTTGACTTGATGTCAACTTACAACATGTTAGTATGTCAAATCACGTACTATTGATTCACAAACTTCGGTTGTCTCAGACATTCTTCTACTCTACGGATTATTGGATGCAGATCTTGGAAAATCGTACGTGTATGCTCATCCTCTGCAAGTGTTTGAAATACCATATCGTTGTGCTTGAAAGTCAACTTCGCCTTCATACATGTTCTCATCTAAGGCAAATAAATCAGTAAAGCGACAGCTCAAAAATGGGCGTACAAAGCGACAACCTGTAATGAATACCATCCAAGTGTTGGTACCGAACTCCCCATGTTGTCACAATCTCACCGTAGTACACTACCCTGATTAGTTCGCTGGCTCGAACGATTAATTCACCCTGTTAGGTGCCGTTATTAGAAATGCTGAATGAGCGGAGGTAAGATGAATATTCAATGAGTTCATGAAATCAAATGCTACTGAAATAGTTTTTAACGTGCAAAATTTTGAATTTATCCGTTTGAAATTTTCCACTCATCGATGTTGATAAAATGCAACTGAAGGAATTTAGACGGCTATTTTTTACAACTGGTTCAACTGACAAACTACTGAATGGTTTGAATACGGGCGGAAAGCGCGATAGGTCGTTGTGGTGCTCCATGACGTGCGTGCACCATTCCGCTGCTCGGGCTCAGTTGAATGAATGCCAAGAACAAAAACATGACCACTGATTTGCACGGATCACGGGTTGTTCCGTCGCGTTTGCGAAAGTCGGAAGTGCACACCGAAAGATCACTCCACAACCCTGTACTCTCATCGATTACTGCCCGCTACTCCAGCTGGAATGCTCGCGTGGACTCGAACCATGCAGTTGTTTTTTTCTGCCAGCAATCGGTCCAACTAAGCAAGAGTAACTCCGGCCTCAACTCTGCATTCAAAATGCACTCGTTTTCAGCGAGTGGTATACGCGGTCACTATCGGTGTGTACTGCATGCCGGGCTGCATTCAGTGGCCGATATCTCTGAACGTGGACGTCTTTATCCGGGTACGGGGCTTTCTGCATTGTTAGGCTGAGCATCCGGGAGCACAGTGACTGTTTGACTGGTTGTCTCCCAGGTTGTGCGTCATAAGCTCCGCGGTCATATTTCACGGTGGGTTTTGCCATCAGCTGCTGTGGCGCTCTCCGTTTCCGAGAACGCCGGTCTACGGGGCACTCTTTAATGATGACGGGCACCACAACTGGTTTTGCGTAGCATGGGGCTTGTGTCATTTTACTGGGTATGTTATCCAAGCGTTCAGTGCACAACTGCAATGGTACAGATTCATGCAGCTCTGGAGAAAGATAAATCACTCGTAAAAAGTCCACAAATTATTTGCGAATGAAAAATCTAATTTCACTTTGTTTCACTCTCATCTGTTGGCGCATTCTTCCTTGCTTCCGCATTTTAGCCTACGCAAGTTTTGAGCGCATCAAAAACGGTTAGTTTATTTTTACTGGTAGTGATGGCTTCTGCTCAGGTGAACAATTTGCAACAAAATGCGATTTTGCTTGGTCACTCTGACCCTTAATGTCTATCCACTTCAGTAATCATAACCCCAGATCCAACCAGGCGCTACATCCAGCCAGTGGTGCACCACCAGCCATTCAGGTTGCTTACGAATTATCTATTGTATGAATTAAGTACTATGCAAAAAACCTCAAAGGAAGTGAGGCTTGATGGAACCGGACAGAAACAGTTTGATCCGTATGCGCCTGCCAACACCCTAACGGCGGATAACACTAATGGATCATGCGAGTAGTATGTGCTCTTTCGTAACTCTGCCTTGCGTCTAACGGAAGGTGCAGTCCACGGGGTTTCTTATGGAAGCTGTGAACTGCATTGCGGTGTTTGTTTACAATGGCGTGGTTGTCAACGAATATCTACGAAAGTTCAACGAAAAGAGTGGGGATGTTCAGTTTTGAAAATAAGGTGTATATGAGAGGTTTACCTTCCTGCCGAATAATTCAGACTGTTTAGTTGGCGTTTGCATATAAACCAATTCTCGGCGATGGGCCTTCGTCCTCACATTATTCAGAATCCTGTGCCAGCACTGTCTTGCTGTCTGATGCTATCACAAAGACGACCATTCTGGTGACCAGTTCAACGGTCACGTTCTGAGCACGTGCAATCTGGCGAATCTGATTACATTGACTGAGCAAATACCTCATCTAATGGGTGCCTCAAACCTGCTCCAAGAACGACAAATATCACACAAAGTTTACTATCTGTGAATCATTGTTGCAAACATATAAACTGAGAGCTATCAAACGGAGGAAATATGGGCTGAATAGCCAGGAACCACGCACAACAAAATTTTTAGTTCACAATATAAATACGTCGTTGTTCGACTGTAAAATGTGAAATACTGTCACATGCACATCTTATACAATTTCACTGTTTATATATAGAATTTGAAATCAGGTTCGATTCACGTAAGTAAGCGGCACCATGCTGCACTTGGTTGAATTTACTCAAATGCGTGTTCGCAGTTAATTTTTGACTAAGTGAAAGTGTCTTACAAAGAAACGATCACAAATGGAATGTTTGAGCTAGAAACATCATGATAACCCGATGAAGGATCAATGATTTCAGTATAACCAGTCAGCCCTGATTGAAACTGTTCAGGCCACAACGCTCTAAACCAGTTTTCTAATGGAGATAGGTCTTTTGTGTTGTGTTTGAGGGACTTACCTATACAGATACGTCTTCTGAGTGTTGCTGTGCGTTTAATTTGTAGAAATTTATGAATTTTTTGCCCAACATTCACATCGGGTTTTGAGGACCAAATAAAAACTATCAATTGGAATACAAACAACATGACAGCGCCAATTTGGAGTCGCCAAATGACGTGGGAAATTTTACCAGCTGAGTGAATAGGCTGTGGCAGAGTTCCTGAGATTCAGCTATTGATTCAGCTATTGGCTTTCGGTACCTATTTGCTGGCCGCCGGCGTTCAATGGCAGCCGGTTAACGCAGTTTCAATCATGATGTTGCACACACACTGCGGCTTTGTATTTCCGTTGAAAGACAGGCGATCGATGACCAAATACGTGGCCAGTCACCCCTAAGCTATGAAGTGTGGAAACTACCGACCCTTGCTGGTCGCTCTATGACCATGTTGCACGGTGTTTCCACCTACTGAGGAATTTCACATACGCGTCCTAATGGATGCATTCGTTAGCCGGGGTCATCGATAACTTTTCCGATTTCAATTTCGGCTCATATCGTTCCCAAACGGTTTCCCATTTTGTTCACAATTTCGTGGAAGTTCGACCAGATGAGGGCATTTGACGATCACTCCAAAGTATGTAAGACAAAGCTCTGATCCTGATCCAGTAAGATAGGACGATCTTTTATATTCAAGGGTGGTGATTTGCGAAGAACGACTTGGGTAATTCAAGGGTGTTTTGGCGAAAAATTTTCCGATATCAACATGTGCGGACTGGAAGCCTTTTAATCGTGGTGTGGAGACGAGCCACTGCGGATTTCAACGTCTCAATGAGGAATTAACTGATTTATTGTCGTAGGCTAACAAAAATCTGCTATAACGCCTCATAGCAAAGTAATCCGCTCTCACCACGCTGATGGTCAGTCGTAACATGAATAGAGAAGGATGCTACCTCTGAATCTGACAATTCCGTGACAAAAGACACATCCATTCGTTAAGCAGGAATACGCCCACGTGATTCCGCAAAGATTATTCAGAAAATATATATGGATAAATTTCGAGGATTCCAGTTTTCCAAGATATTAGCCACCATGAGGCACAACCAAAATTGATGCTTATTTCTATAGAGACAGGAATTTAGGCCGAGAGTGAAAGTCGCCCGTCCGTGCGTGCGTGTTATTCTCCCGCGGCTTTCGAGGAAGAAAGTATATCAAATCGACCGCTATATCATATCCAATACGTGGTCTGAGCCACCTTACGTTTACTGCATTTAGCAATGCACAGCGTTCACATTTCATCTTGTGGCCGAGAAACCCCGATATGAAGACACCCACCGATGGGTCCATCAGAGTAAACATTAGTCTCTCTAGGAAATTAGGCAAGGTCGAAGTCCACACCATTGAGACTGCTTAAACTCAGTCATTATTACTGGTGTTTTTCTTCTGGATGTTTTCCATCATTTGAAGCTATGTGGCTCCATAAGAATTTGGCCTAGGAGTTTGCAAGTGGGAACGGGAATTTTCATGGCTCAGTGCAATAAAACCAAGCACATCGTCTGAATTACTTTTATACTTTTGCCTCATTTAACACGGAGCCGACAGATGCCGTGGCTACTTCTGAATCGGCACACCGCGTTGAAGTAAATCTACCTAGGCTGCTAAAGTTAGTGGTTTCGGAAATAATAAGTCGCACTGCCCGGAACGTTTTTTCTTCTGTTTCGGCAGATTTTGTAGTTGTTCACGAATTTTTCCACTGGGCAGCAGACAGATTTCCACAAATATCTCGGCTTTAACAGACTAGGATATTGCTTTGTCATTCCTGCATCTCCAAGCGCACAACAGGGTTGAACAAGAGTTGTGACGAACCAACCTGAACGGGTGGTCAGCGTCTCTTTTTGGGCCAGTATAATTTAGAGCTAATTCTAGAAGTCATATCCACATATGCGTCCATCAAATTCAGTAAAGTATGCCTGACCGTTCAGTCAACAACAGCTAATATTTCGCCTTCAGATCGGGTGCTAGCTGATGAGCACTACTGGCAACCTGTCACATCGCATTTCACAATATCTTGCTCCTGGTTAATGTGGCTCGCGATGTCGGATCAACTAGGTTGTGTTGGAAGTGATTTTCCAGATTGATCAAAGCAACTGTAGACAAGGAGAATGCAGGCGATTCTCAGAACAAAACCCCGTCATTATGACTTTCGCCTTCATGCTGTGTTGACTGATTCTTCACTACGGTGGATGTTTAGTTTCTTTTTCTGCATTTGCTTCGCCTTTGGCCCACTGCAAGCCGATTATCTGTCGGAATTCACCAGGGTTAGGTCCAACAGGAAAGCAAACCTAATGTACAGAGGCATCTCCAATCTTTCGGAGCATATATCAACTGGAGTTGACAAAATAGGGGAGCGGGAGTGTAAAAACGCTCGCTTTGGCTGACATCCAGTGGATGTAGATTAGTGTCAATATTGATTCAAGAATGTAGGCCAAAATCTTCAAACTTGTCCTCCGTTTCTAATCTTGTTCTTTATAAATGTGAATGAGATTACTTGATTGATTTTGCATTTTTACGACACTTTTCTGCGTGCGTTTCAAGGATTTGCGCATCCTAAACTGGCACGGCGCCAGACCAGTTGACGGAGAATAAACCATCAAAATTCGCAGGTTGTAACTGATGAAGACGATCTAACTTGCTGTAGCTGACACTATATTCATTCTCGCAATCTGATCACGTTTCAACTGTTTGCAAACATGTCCACTATATGCAGGTAGCTTACAAAGTAATGGTGAGTGAATAGAATTGGCGTTTCGCAATTTGTCTAAAGTGGATAGAGATTGTTCGCGATATGATGAGGTCGGCCTCAACTCTGATGCCTGTAGATTCAAACAACATGAGGTTGACGGAAACCTGGGTCTGCGCCTACGTGATGAGCCCCCAAAAGGGCGAAACCGGTAGTGGGCTGTCGATGGATTTTCAGCAACCTTATGAGTAGTACTTTACAGAGACAAACATTTAGTTGTTCCTAGTTGAGTGGATAAGGACATTGGTGATTACGTAGACTTATAAGTTCCACATGTGAAGTTGTTGTACGTTCTAGTCTAGTCCTAAATGCAATCATTCGGTTTGTTGCATTACACGAACTGATCCACAGCAAACAGTGTGACATTGCGACGTGTACATTACGCCACTAAAAGTTTGCTAGTCATCACCAAGACAACTTGGTTCGGTTAATTTTCAACCCACCTACTGTGGGCTAGGTAGGAATAACCGACGACAGTGACGTTCTTGTTGTCAGTTTCTATCCAGATCGCCTGAGTGAGTGTCTGGAGGTATAGATACCTCGGAATGATTGTGGTAAGCTAGCACTAAGTCACTTCCCCGTCCACCTTTACTCTTTTCTTTACAATATGGCTTTCAAATAAATGATGGTTGTGCGGCAGTGAAGCATGGGTGTTGAACACTGATGTCATGCTGTCGATGATGATGATGGTGATGATGATGATGAGGTAAGACTTGTACGAATGGTCCTCGATCTTGCAATTTAAATCAAGGCAGCTTGAGAAAATGAGGATACAATAATTACCTCAGCGCCTCTCCACTTTTTAAATATAACTGCTGAACTGCCCCAAGGCGAAAATATTTTTGACAGAAAGATTTCTTTGTTCAGGCCTGCGACAGGGACTCATTGAAGGTAAGGCATTCATTATTCGACATCATGGCTTTGATCAAACAGAATCCAATTGGTTGGTTGCTTGATGAATCGACGTTCGAAAATGGAATTTTTTTTATTTCAAAGCTTTGTTTTATGCAGCGGCACAGCGCTTCGTACAAAGTAAGCCGAAACCTGCGAATAAAGTGTTTGATAATTCTGCACTCCTTTGGATGATGCGTGTTAGAAACCAAAATTCTAAGTAATTCGAACACAAACGTTCGGTTCTCTGTATTCAAATTAACCAACAGGTTTAATTCTTTCCTCTTTCGTTTCGGTTGAGAGCAGTTGAGGAACGCATCTTCAATAGTAGGTCGCCCTTGAAGTAGTTGCAAGTAAATTATTCAGTCATGCGTTTAATGCCCCCTCGCGAAAATGACATAAACTTCGTGTTTTTCCAGATATATTTGGTCGTGAAATGAGTACGTTGCTTACAAATTCCACACTAATTTTCTAGAATGTTTATTTCCAAACTTAGTCCTCCTGAGGCGAAATAGCGGCAGTTTTAGCGATTGTCCCCGGACAAAGCTAATTTCAATGCGGCTGGCTATGCTTTGGTCTGTGTGAGGTTCCTTCCAGGTCACGCAATGCAACTTCAGTGAGAATGATGTGACACTTTAAACCCCATTTGATTTAGAAAAGACGGGCAAATTTAACAAGACTTCACATGAGATGGAACCACACGCTGGTGCTTTATATGGAAAGACATCGCTTTGCTGGTGTCAATTGACTCACAGAGGACAAATCTAATGAGAGAGTGACTCCTCTACCGGATCAAGTTTCATGAAATCGCCTTTTTGCTACAAAATTGTTTAAATTCACCGTGCTGAGCTGGTTCAATAAGCATTCCGCGAAGATGGTTTCCTCTCATTTTTGAGTGGGATTGCACACACATGCTCTGATTTTTTTTCAAGTCGGATATCCAAAGGTTTGCGATTTCAGGTGCTCTATAAAACTTTGGGTTGATAAGATGCCAGCGTATGCCCAATGAAGCATCACTTGTAGAGAAAAACGGAATTTGAGGCTTCCGTGACTTCGATAATAGGAACGGCAGTTGTATCGCTTGGCCATGGTTGAATAGAGGGTGGGTTATCTGTGAAAATATAATTTCCGAGAAACTGCATTCAGATAGAATGGATTGCGTTGGTGGATTAAGGGTGGAGACCAGATCGTTGGGCGAAGGAACCGTTACCATGAACCGATTGCATTTGACCTGGAAAACCAAAAACCGTATTTGGACGCAGTGCTTTGTGAAAAACATTTAATTTTGCACATATGAACTGATGAATAGGATTTGCAATCCATGACCGCGGTTCCGGCTTCCGAAGCAGTTACTCGAATGAGCCGACGTAAACTGTCAATCTTGTGCGATGTTCCATGTGGGCAAGCTCAATTCTAGTGATGCCTGTTGCGGTCATCAGAACGGAATTGCGGGGTTTGTTTCGCTCACCACGTTGTAAACCAGATTTCTGAGTCGTAAATTATATGAAAATCAACCTGTTTTAGATTCGGGGGAAAGTGAAAGTAAGTTCAGTACAGCATTATCAAAATCCATGAATACATGTTGGCATTCACTTGGCACTCGAATGGACATTGGCAATCTCTTTGGAAATAAAAGTGAATTTTCCAAAGACGAGCCTAATTTGTCGATAAGCACAAAACCTATTCCGGCGTTTCGACCCGTCCAAACAGTCACTGAAGTCGCGAATGTTAACATCTGTACCCTTTGGAAAAAATAAAGTCCCCGTAAGCCATGCACCAATAGATGCAATTCAGTTCGCATCTGAAAGTTGCAATTCAACGATTTGAACGCACTCGAATTCAGTCACTCCGTGTTAAACGAATGACGGCTGACGATTGCAAGAGGGTCCTCATGAACGGAAGTTTGACTAGAGGGTGTGTTTTCTCTTTGCATCTCCGGACTCTGAAATTTACGTAACGAACCATAATATAGGCGGGATATCTCTAGTCTGTCAGAAGTGTACTTTTAAGCAAATTATTTCGTGCATTGTAGCTTGTTACCGCCGTGTATTTATACCAAACTTTCACCATGCAAGTACAAACGTTTTTAATGTACCGTGGTTGATTTCTGGTTGGATGCGTTTTCTAGTCACTTCAAATATGGTTCGAACTGCTACGACAATTACCCACGTGGGATCGTTGATATTATGTGACATGAATAGATTGCAACCTGACTTCACGCTTGTAGTATGTCTAAAAAAATCCTGGAAACTTCTCCCCGTTTAACCATTAAAATTCTCTTATTTCCAAAGCATGGGAGACCTATTTAAGAAATCGTAAGTCGATGTGAAGTACTTTCTCGAGAAAAGCCTGTTCGCTTTATCGTGACCAACCATTGTGCTATTTAGAACAAGAAATTGAATTTTCTTGGACAGGTTACCTTTTTGCCCCTCCCCCACGCTTATCATATTGTGCTTGTTCTTCCGGAAGCCTTGCCATAATCTCAGCCCTCCAGTTCCCTAAACCGGTTACAGAACCGGATACTCAGTGTACCCAAGCAGTATCCCGAGTCTCCATCTGACTTTTCAAATCACCTCAATTATACGCGCAAATCACGTGTGTGTAGTTTCTTCTGGAATCCATCAAAGTCTTTCACAGTGGCCTTAAAAGGTTCGGCTAAAAACCATCGCTTAACTTTATTCTATGCGTAAGCGATGTGTATTTACCAACTTCTGCCGATAATGCCCCTGTTACTAACGTAGTTCGTCAGGTCGGCCATCTTAAGACACTTGTTGAACTTGTGCGGTCAATCGTTCGAACAACGATGCTGGTGTTCTTTCAGCTGATTCTGTCAACTGCTGAACTTGTTGCCCAAACGTAGACTCGATTGCATTCTTTGTGATCAACAGCACATTTGTATTCTTCGGTGTAATTCTCATACTCTTCCGTTATCACTCACCTGGGTGTGAGGATGCGATCGCGTTACCATCACCAGGGCGGAAATCCTGTTCACAAGTAAATCCGTAATCAAACTGGTTGTGTTAGTAACCCTGCGCGTGTAATCTCCACTTTCTTGTATTCCTGCAGTTGGGAAGCACTGGACAGCATGTAAGCAGCATAGTTACACCCAAAATAAATTTACGATATTTAAGTTACCCAGTACTAAGTCTTTCATGGGCACCGGTGCCAAAGTCCATACGCCCTGGTTGAAAGAAATCACGGATTTAAACCTGTTATCACAAGTATTGTCTATATTTTTCAAAAGGTGTCATCGTGTTCCTCTCTGCACGTATATAAAATAAACAACACTGACACCGGAAACATTGCCATCCTAGTTTATGAGCTCTACTACACATCACGGTAAGTGATGACAAACGCTAAAAGTAATATAAAGCATTCTATAAATTATAAAGAGCACGTATTACATATTTATTAAAGCGAAAGCATATTCTCCATCCATTTGCAAGAAACTAGCATTCGTGCTCCACCAGAGAAAACTGCCATCATTCCTGACCCGTGAACTTATCGACGTGTTTGAACAGCTGTACGAAAACGTGGGTGACACGTCTTTGTCGACAATGCACCTGAATGAGAAGTTCATAAGTTCCAAAAGCAGATTCGGTGCCTTGGTCACCGGAACGAAACGATTGCATATATCATTTGGCTAATCTCCATGTGTTGGGTCAGATAGACAAAAGCTCAGAGGCTGTGGCAGGTGGAGAATCGCCAGCACATTATTGGGCACCGAGTTCAGCGGATGATCGTGAATCAAAGCATTTCTCCCCAGTTGCATTTCATTTCAGTTCCTTTCAGATAGACACTTCGAGATGGACTAATGTTTCTCACACAAGGTCGACCTTGTCTCTGGTACGCCAACCTGCATTAAGATTACCTGGGCTCATGTAATCTTGGTAACACAGGATTCTTAGTAATACTGAAGTATTCGTGTGGAAAATTTTAACCAACAATTCACCCATCTGACTGATTGGCCGTCATTATTTTCTATTCGTTCAATGAAAATAGTAACTGCACTCGAGAGGCTTTAACAGGCAATCATTCATTCTTACAGCAATTTGCCCGCTACTTGTGAGTTTACCAGAGTGTCAGCTGAAACACAAATTGCTACTGCTAAATAATTCTAATTAAGTAGATAAGGGTGACGACATAAGAGGTTTCCGGGGCAAAGCTTTTGAGCATACAAATTTTGCAATTTCCCACCCGCCAATTCAGACACACTGGGGAATAGATGTTTACATCCCGTTCTACAACTCGTGTCAAACTTTATAGTATCTCTGATATGTAGCGTTGAACGGGAGTTAAGCTCTCCGCCGGTACGTTCTTTAATAGCAAACACGAAATAGGAGTTTAGAGGCAATTTCAAATGAAAGTGAATATCTCGTCGGCGTTTAAAGAATGAACGATTTCAATCCTCCACTTGAATTTCCGTGAACGTCCAGAAAATTTAAACCGCATTCGGGCACGTTAGTACCGTAGTAATCTTCGCCTTCAGTTGCATGCGAGGGCAACGACGACTTGAGTTTGCATCCGGAAACCTGTGAACTTTGCAGTTCTTGTTTCATGGCATCGTCATGCATTCTAAAACAGCTCATCGTTG